CCCGTGAGGCCCCAGGGACCCGCATGGCTGTGCCACCCGCCGCGGAGGCCGGGCCACTCCGAGCCTCAGTTTCCTCGCCTGTCAGATGGTGGGGCGGTGGCAGGAAACAGACCTGCCCCCCTGGGCGCTGGCAGTGCGGGTCCCCGAGCGGATGCCGGTTGTTTGGAGGGAAAGTGGAGGAGGTACCATTGGGGGTGGCCGCCCCGCCCGGCTTCAGGGACAAACAGTCTTAAAGGGGCAGTGACCTGCGGCTGCTCCTGCTGCTCCTGGCGCCTCCTTCAAGGTGTGAGCAGACGGGATGGATGGGGAGCCTGCCTCTCCGGGAGGAATGCTGGGGACCTGGGGGGGCGGGGGGTGATGAGGGCCTGGTGTTCCAGCCACAGGCAGGACATGTCCAGTCCCGGTGAGGGCGTCTGAGTCTCAGCCTGCCGCCCCCACACCCCAGGAGCCCTGGGCTGTGTCCCTGGGTCTTCTTTCACTGCTGGTCAGGGAGCCCTCTGCCCCCACGGGAGGGGCGCTCTCCGGAGGGGCAGGCACTGGTGGCCGGTTTTCTTTATTCCTCCCAGTCTCTGCCTTCGGACTGTTCCTCTGGGAGGCCTGGACGCTGTGGGGTGACCCTGGTGGGCAGTGGGGGTAGCTGGTGTGCCTGGGCCCCTGTGTGAGAATAGCATCCATCCACCCCTGGCCGCCCAGAGGAAAATATGATTCTCCAGCTTGTCAGGAGGGCAATGGAGGCGAGAGGTGAGGTCACTCCGCTCATGTATCCAAGCCTCTGTGCCAGGCCTGGGGCTGGCACCGCCCACGGAGGTGAGTGAGAGCGCTTTTTGCAGGGGAGCTAGCTGGCAGCCCACGAGAGCTGCTGGGCAGAGCTGAGTTGTTCCTGCCTCTGATTCCTCTCGCCATAGATTTTTACATATATTTTTGTTGTTGTTTTTAGACAGAGAGGAAGGGAGTGGTAGAGAGAGAGAGAGAAAAATATTGATCTGCTGCCTCCTGGCACGTGCCCTGACCCATGGCCAGGGCTCCTCTGGCCATATTTTATATAAAGCATCACCGTCGTCGGGCACCCGCACGGATTTGTACAGAGCACTCTGGCCATACTTTAGATGCCGTGAGGTTTCCAGGCAGAGACCCCGGGGCGGGCTGTCTGTGATGGCAGTGTCCGTCTGATCAGCAGCAACTCTGGACAGTACTTTGCCGCCGTGTACACGTACTCAGTCCTCCCACCCACCCCGGGAGGTAGGCATGCTCCCTTCTTTATTTATGACAAGAAAATGGGGTCACGTGGCTCATCACTGGGAGAGGCAGGGTGTCAGTCAGGTCTGTCTGCTTCTCGATAATAGTAGTAGCCGTGATGAGTTTTACCCAGTATCTACGGGATGCCT